GGGATATAGCTCGCTAGCAGCCTCGCACCGAGGACCTATCCACGTCATCATTTACCCAGAATGCTTTGCTTGTAAATAAAATGGCTCTGTCTGTGTTAAAATATTTTTAAAAATTTACAAAACTAAACAGCCTACAGCATTTTTACAGTCTTTATTTTACAGTTAAMATAAATGTTTATCAGATAAAGTCTAATGTTACAACTAATCATGGATCTCTTTAAAGGAAAAGACTCTAATCCAAACTTTTTAACTGTCTTATACACTGAACTGAACTTGTGTGAAAAACATAAAACAGAATCAGCTACTTGTTATTGCGAAATAATGTTGCTCAATAGTGTCTCTGATCTGAATAGGAAGCATATATCTAATCACGAAATGAAAAATATATATATTTGAAACATTAGTGTGGTACACTGATGCAAATAAATACAACATTTTTAAGCTTTTTAAGCCTCACTAGAGTATTTAAAACCAAATGCATAACGTGAAATGAGAAATGATGAAAAATATAAACTACTTTTCTCAAATCTTGAAATTAACCTTTTAATTTTGTAAGATCCTGCAAGATCAATTAGCCCTCAGAGTAGGCCATGTGTTGGCGATGACTTTCAGCTACCACCACATCACGTTTTATCTCAGTATCTGTAATACTTGCTATGCTATAGCCAGTTTTGTGTTTGCTAAAGTCAACGTATACATACTCAATAAAAACATTGTCTTTTCAAATCATTTTTGAGGAGCATGGCTTGTAGGTTAGCTAAAGTTAGCTTGTAGGTTTATTATAGTTAGCCAACAGGTTTGCAAATTTAGTATGTAGGTTTGCTAATTGGTTTTTAAGGATTAGCCTCTAGGTTTGCTAGGACTAGCTTGTAAGTTTATTATGGTCAGCTTGTAGGTTTTTTATGGTTAGCTTGTAGGCTTATTATRGTTAGCTAATAAGTTTGCAAGGGTTAGCATGTAGGTTTGTTAGGGTTCGCTAATTGATTTTTAAGTGTTAGCCTCTAGGTTTGTTAGGACTAGCTTGTAGGTTTATTACAGTTAGCTAATAAGTTTGCAAGGGTTAGCATGTAGGTTTATTAYGGTTTGCAAGTGTTAACTTGTTTGCTATAGCTTATGCAAGAAACAAGTGTGAAAGCAGGAAAGAAAGGCAAAAATAGCTTCAAAAAATTACCAGCAGAACCAATGTTTAAAACATCTTTAACAAAAAAATTACCAATTTTTCTGTGGCCWTAAAACAAACGGTCCATGGACCAGTACTGGTCCTTGGCCTTGTAGTTGGTGAGCCCTTGTTATAAGCAACTCATGAACCMAACTTTGCTCCTTTTTACTAAGAAGTTATTGCTTTCATTATTAGTTCTTGTTTACTGTAGAACTTTAAAAACGTTTGTGTTTATTTTAAAGCAGTTAAAAATGATAAAGTAGCTTATTGAAAGTGGTGCCTTGACGTTAGCACAGAAAGCTACAGCTGAGACATGATCTGCAGCATGTGAGCAGCTAAAAGTTTCTGCAGAAATGTGGCACAGTGTTATCAGATGTGGTGAGCTGCGTTTCCTTTAGCACTGACCCGTTCCATCTCGCCTCACGCTGCTGCTCTACTTATTGTCTGCCTCTAATTATCTTCTCTCTCTCTGTGTGTCAGGAAGTCCAACGTGGAGTCTCTTAGTGCGATGAAGACCAAGAAGCTGGTCCAGCGGAGGAGGAACACATGCCCCAGTCCTCAGGACATCAGCAGGGCCCTGCAGGGCCCCAGCTCTGCTCCCAGTCCCAGCGCTCCCAGCTTGGACGAGCTCATCCTGCGCTGCCTCAACTGCTTCGGTCGGTCCCAGACTGTCCACATGTAGACTCTACCATGTGCCTTTACTGCTCGTCCCAGTCAGRTTACATAACTGAAGAGGGAGCCTTTGTTTTCCGCTCTGCTCTGATTCATCAGCTGAATCACAGAATCTGGACAACAATGTGTCTCTGAGGTCCAAAAACAAAATCTCATCAACTCTACAACTTATATGATACACCTAGAAATGTTTCTCTAGTCATAGATGAACCCCAGACAGTCGACCCAAGACATGAAAGTGAGGCGTCATTTTGGTGCAGGGTTATCAAACTCACTTTCACCAGGGGCCACATGAGCGTTATGTTGGCCCTCAAAGAGCCAGTTGTAATTAATTTCAACGTTTCGTGTTTAACTTCAACTAAACACAAAACATCATGTTCCTGAGCACCTCTAATACACACTAGCTGAGCTCTACCTGGTGTTTCCTGYACAGTAACAGTGTTTTAACACGCCCTCTTAAAAACACTGAAAAGTACGCGTACAACTGACTAAATGTGAAATAAATAAAACAGAAATACTATTAAAAGTAGGGGTGTAAGAAAATACCGATACACTGAAATATCGCGATATCTCATTTCTTGATACTGTATCGATATTCTAAAGCCCTGTGTCAATATTTAATTAAGGTTTAAAATGTCAACTTTCCTGCCAGCCGTTCATTTTTATGTTGTAGTTCAGCCTCTGACCACTAGTTGGCAGCAGTGAGACAGCCATTTGGCTCCTCTACCTCTTGAGCACCAGAGAGTAAGGGTAGCATTAACATTGTGAGTAAACATTAGCTTCATGCTCCGATAGCTGAATCTGAGCGGAAAAGACAGACACCCTCTGCCTTCTAAGCTGAGGTAAGGTTACAAACAGTTACTGATTTGTCAGAATGTCTGTATTTTAATACAAATTAAGTGTTTTGCGTGCTCTTTTTTCCAACTTTAGTCAGGCTTCACGTTACGCATGTAGCGCCTCGAGTGAGCTCGGCACTCCCCCCGTGACATAAAACTGTCTGTTGCTCTCGATGTCCGGCTGATCACATCAAAGTCCATATACTTTAAGTTTATCCTGCTGTGCTCGCTTCATAAATGATTTAACTGTGTTGTTTAGCTTCTCCATTTATTTACTGTTTATTTTGGGACCTGCCCTGCTGTTCGACCCACAGTTATGTAAATCGTGTTCTGGATGCAGGTCAGCTGATCCCAGAAACTCTGTGTGCAGCAGCTTCATATCATCTGTTTACTGAACTTTATGACAACATAAAGGCTATTGTTAAGTGTTGGGTGACCATATTGTAAATTAATATTAAAAACTAAAAGCTGCAAAAAATATATTTTCAAACTATTTATTGACAAATTTAGTCTAATAATTGAAAACATGGATGAAATAAGAAATATGAAACAAATAAAACACACACAAAGCAGAATACAGCTAAATGTATCAAAAGTATGTCAATGTAATATTAGGATTTTCTGAAACAATGAACTTTGTTTTTTATTTTAATTTTTTACCAGTAAGAGGTTTTTATTTAATAGAATTTTTGGACAAAAAAAATCGCAATATTTCAGGATATATCGCATCGTGACCTCACAGTCATGATATCTATCCTGCCAAATTCTTGCCAATACACAGCCCTAGAAGTAAGAGAGTTTTACTAACTGCTGCCATCTTGAATTCTGAGCTCTCCCACTTTCCGACAGGGAATTCTCATTAGAGGGGTGATCCAGGTTAAATGTACAACTTGTAAGTGAGAAATTCCCACTTACAACTGGGTCACAGCAAAAGTAGCCATTAAAATGCAGCGAAATGGAGATTTTGCAGGGTGAATTTTGYCGGCTACTTTTGAACTCTGTGCAGCTCCACCTAGTGGTGGGGTGTTGCCATTTTAAGGGTAAAATAATCTATACATTATGGGAGATGTAGTTTATGGCTTTAAAGATATTCAGCTAAATTGGCCTCAGTTACTCAAAACCAAAAGCTCAGGGGCCGGACAAGAATCATCTTTCACCTTTTAAATTAGTTTATTTTGTTTAAAAAATTTTTGTAAATTAATAGAAAAAAGGTTTATGGCCGACAGAATGGAAATCACCAGAGGAAACTACCTGACAGCAGAGACTCACAGGATTTTGTTTTTTATTGTCACATGAAGCCGTCTCGTCTAAATGCTCTGTTTTATCTGCAGACTCAGAGGGCAGGACCTCCAGTCCCAGAGGGTCCCAGTTGGTCCACATGACCCTGATGATGCACAGCTGGATTGTCCCGTCCCAGACCTTCGCCCAGAAACTCCTCACCCTATATCCTAAACAGTATTTATTCAAATCATCTTTCAGTCCACAGCCAGGTTTGTGGTACAGATGATGGGATTACTGTAAAGACGAGAAAAGATGGACCTCCTAAAATTAATTACCTTAAATAATTTAAAAGATGCACAATATATAGAGTTAATGTAAATTCAGGACAATATGGGGAAATTAAAGATATTTATATGTTTTTAAAACTACTATTGAAATGAGGGTCCAGATAAGACTTGATTCAGGTCCCGATCTGTACCGCGGTCTGCCATTTGAGGGCCTGTATCTGCTCCGGCCCGACTGGTGCCCGGCTCCTGGTCTAATAATCTGATCAGGAAACAGGCCTAGCTTTGTTTTGAGCTCCTGCAAAGCAGATTTGAAGTAAATAACGGTGCCGCTGTTCAGCTGTCCCAGACCTGCACAGCTCGGTTTGGTTTCTTGACCTTTTTCCTCGCACCTATAAGGACTGTCCCCCAGATAAGAGAGGCCTCAGGAGGACCCAGATCTGCCACCTTGTCAGGTGAGAAAGGACACCTGGTCACATGAGAGTTGGTTCTCTGGCTTCCCTTGTGGGTGACAAACATGTTCTGTGTTCTGCTCCGGGCACAAGGCAGTGGATGAGCCAGTTCCCGGGCGTTTTTAAGGAGGACCCCGTCCTAGAGCAGACCATGGGGGACCTGTGTGAGCTGGTCCGACTGGACGGGGAGAAGACGCACTCGCAGCTCATCAACACCTCCTGCCTGTGAGTCATGTTGTGGTTCGAGGAGTTGTCRTTTATTCATTTAAGCATAGCTTTAAACCGTTTCTCTATAAATAGACAGTTTCAGTAGTTTTTTTTCTTTTGTTTTGTTTTCCAGAAGCCCTCATGCCAACGCGTCCCAGGCTCCCTCGCCCTCGGTGAAGAAGAGGAAGGTGTCTCTGATCTTTGACCACATGGAACCAGACGAGATGGCTGCACATCTCAGCTACCTGGAGTTCAAGAACTTCTGTAACGTTTCAGTGAGTAAAACCTCCTGAAACCAAACCTAAGATTCATAACTGGAGTTTGTGCTGTCAGAATTATGATGAACTTTAATGGAAAACTCCCAAATTACAATAACAACGGCAATAAAACAGCTTCCTCCTCAGGTGGAGGAATCCAGGTATCTTATTTTATATAATATATAAGGTGACAAATAAATATTTGGATTAGAGATGTCCCGAATCGATCCAGATTTTTTGGCTTCCGATACAATCCAATTTTTCGATTAGTCTTTAAGATAAGATACGATAAGATAAGATACGATACGGTACGATACGGTATGATACGATAAAATACGGTACGATACGATACGATAAGATACGATAAGATACGATAAGATACGGTACGATACGATAAGATACGATAAGATGCGATAAGATGCGATAAGATGCGATACGATAAGATAAGCCTTTACTGTCATTGTACACAGAACAATGAAATTGCTTTTCAGAACACCATTCAGAAGAAGACAGAACATAACAAACATAGGAGAGCAGATACCGATTTTTCCCGATACCGATCCGATAGCTTTATTTTTTTATTTCTTTCCAAGTGACATGGTTGGTAGTATTAAAGCGAGCTCTGCTGTTCCCACCACGAGAAACATCTAGTTTGCAGATTTTGAAAGATGCAGTTTCAGCATCATTGTTTTCCACTGAAAAGTGTTCCCACACTGTGGACATTTTTGCATCCTTGTGTGCGTCTTGAGTTTTCAACGGCAGTTGTAAAGCGTGATGATGCTGAAAACTGTCATGAAAACTGGATCGGCCCGATCACATGACTAAATCTACCCAATTTTCAAAAAAAAAAATGGCCATGTCTGCCACCGATACAGATACTGAGTATCTGATCGGGACATTGGGAAATAATTTTTAGATGCAAAAACTTCAGATTTCTTAACATTTATTAATGGTACCATCATGGTCTGTCCTGTGCAGAATGACAAAACACAAACTAATTTCTTTACTAAAACCTCTGTAACTTTGCTCCAGTTCATTTTAGCAGCATGAATCTTTGCACAGGTGATGTYCACAACTGGATTTATGGTTTCCAAGAGTTTTTAGCCTGATTCATTATGGTTTAAATGGGTTACATACTGTCTGATGAAAAAAATTATTCAGACGAGAGGGGAAAAAAGTAAAACAAAAATTATGTTCCACCCTTAATACTGTATCTTTAAAACAGCACCAGCTGTTTTAATACTTACATGTCTAATAAAATCTCACACGTGTTAGCTTTATTTTGATACCAACATTATTTAAGTGGAGTTTGTTAATGCTGAGATGCACTCAGTTACATTTCAGCATGGTGTTTTGAGAAAAAACATCAAGGAAACTCCTTGGGGCTGAAGAGGTTAATATTTCCTGTCTGTTTACCTCAGTTCCTGGATTACCGCAGCTATGTGGTGCGAGGTTCGGTCCGGGACAACCCTGCTCTGGAGCGCTCGGTCATGATGTGCAACGGGGTCTCCCAGTGGGTCCAGCTGATGATCCTCAGCAGACACACGGCCCAGCAGAGAGCCCAGGTCTTCACCAAGTTCATCCACGTAACTCAGGTAGACCAACACACCCAGAGTCTGAGGCCGCAACAGGAAGCCGGACTTTGCCTCCTGACGTTTCCTCTGATCGATTCCTCCTGTAGAAGCTGAGGGCTCTGCAGAACTTCAACACTCTGATGGCGGTGACTGGAGGTCTGTGTCACAGCTCCATCTCTCGCCTCAAAGACACGTCCAACCTGCTGCCTCCTGACATCACAAAGGTACTGCTCGCCACCTTGAATCCATGTTTCCACTGTCTCAGCTTCGCTTTTTCTGGTCCTCTGATGTCGTTCAGTTTCCTCTCTAAATTATCTAACATTTTGAGGTTTAATGAGCGTTTAGTAAATGTATTTTACCCAAACTTTGAGTCTAACAGACAGTAGAATCTGTGCAGGTCTCCAAAAAGATGATGCAAGTCTGGCAACACGTTAAGCTAAAGATGTGATTACTTTCATAGCTGAGAGCTTTAATATACGCATCAGATTTAATTTGCACCACATAGGTAAAAAACCTGAGTTGGATTAGAAAAATAAATAAATCGGATTTGGGTGAGTCTTGCCTGCAGAGTGAACTTAAGATAGCATGAATGTATTTTTGGAAATGTAACATTGATAATATATTGTAAAAATGATTTCATGCTGCTGAGATGAACAGTTGTTGAAATATTTGCATGTGAAGRAACAGGAAGTCATGTCAAAGGGGAATGTCTGAACGTAAACAGAGCGTTGCTAAAATGGTTAACAATACAGACTGTAGAGAAGAATCGGATGTTTCTTTAGAATATTTTAATTAATATCATAGGGAGATGAGAAAGATTTATGGTTCAGATAATATTGTTGCAATAAACAAAAACCAGGAAGTTTTCTTTCTCAAAGAGYTCMCCTTTGATGTCACTTCCTGTTTCACTTTAGCTGAGCCAAGTTCAAAAGAAAATTTGCCAATTATGTGACATAACGGGTCAAATCATGTGTATTCTGCCAGGTTTCTTAAATATAAATATATTTTCTTTGACTTTTGTATTTAAGTGATATGCATGTCAAAGACACTTTAAAGCTAAACAAGAAAAAAAATCTGAAGCTCCTTGAATAGTTTTTGTATTGTAAGGATTTTTGTGGGTCCAGACACCCCCTCTTCAGATGGAGCCCCCTCCACAAATATGGGGTCCATTATTAAACCGTTGGCTGGAGCAGTGTAGGTCGGACACATCTACTTTCCTGCCAAATTTCATGTTGATCAGTGCAGCTGTTTCCGTGCTACRGTTGATCAAAGAYCTTGAAAAATAAATAAAACGAACAGTATGACCTTTGCATGCAGGGGTCATAATTTTGATGCAGAGTCACGGATATTAAAACTACGACTGATTCTGACTCAGAGAATCTGTGGAAATCAACCACAAACACACAGTAAAACACATTATTTGCAGTCAGTTCTAAATAAGGATGAACCAGAAACACTTTTCTCTCTGTTTTTCTTGCTGTAGAATGTAAGTGAAGCCAGAGTGAGCACATTCTGTCTGCCTATAACTGTCTCTTTGTTGTCCAGATGTTTCTTCAGTAACTTATCTACATTATTGTGTTATTAATTTGCATCACACTTGCATACARGCTGGTGTGGCACAACTACAACAAAGCTGCGCTCTCGCTCTCTGCTGCTTTTGATTAACCAGACTGGGACCTTTCAGGTGCTCCTTAAAAGGATCCCTGATTAGTTGTAACATTAGACTTTATTTGATGAACATTTATTTTAACTGTAAAATAACGACTGTAAAAATACTGTAGGCTGTTTCGTTTAGTAATTTTTAAAAAATATATTTTA